AGAGAGTAGGAGTATTGGCAAAGCTTTAATGTCTTACAAAAGTAAGTTCTGATGGAAAGAAATGAAGCTGATGAGGTCCCCAGAGATGCTAGTCAAAACTCTGATCTCTCTTGTGGTAACTAACTGGTTTTTGAAAGCCAAGAAAGCCTGCCTTGTGTACCGGGTACAGAAATCAGTGCATTAAGCAGAAGTGTGTCCTAATGAGCATCCAAAAATGAGTTGCCTAGTGCACCATCCTGTCAGCTCTTTTCCCAGTTCTGTCCTTAACCGGCTCCTGTCAAAAGATGGGATGCTTATAATGAGCAACTTTCTTCACCTCTTTTCTCATCCTTACAAGACCTTTTTATTTCTTTGTAACCCCCCAAAATGCCTTGTAAAGAAAAAGAATGTAGAACCAGCAAAGATGTAATGTAAGCACACGTTTCCGATGGTCCTGAGATCTGTTTCGGATCATTAGAGCAAAGTGAAGGGGGCGCTCATAGACCCGCGGCTCTCACCAAAGGCAGCGTGCTTTCCAATTTGATCTGTTGTAGGTATCCGTCTCCATGGCAATCATTCTTGTTCATAAATATTCTCGTTATAGGTTGCTCTGGTTTTAGTGTGTGCAATTAAAAAGTTTCTCTTGGCTACTTACCATTTCTTCTTGGCCCAAACTTTTTTGTTTCTTTTTTTTAACATTAAGAATGCAATAACCCAGTCAGGTGGTCCATCAGCTTCTATACGGAGAAATTTTAATGCACAATTAGATTTTATTTTGCTTCTTCTTTACCATGTTTTTTATTCCCATATCTCGTTCTAATTTCTTGCAAAGTTCTAAATCTTTTAAAATAGAAAGTTTACATAGTTATTTAGAAAAAAATGCATCAGGCCCTGGGATCTATCCTCAGTGGAGACAGAGAAGGAAAATTAGTATTTTAAAACACAGTTAAGTGGATATGAAATTGTTAACCAGTGACTGAAAGGTACAAAGGTGTTGAAACTAAGGTTGGAGGCACAGACCTGTAAGTTCAGAGCTCAGAGGTAAGTCGGAAAGATGAAGAATTCTGGGTCAGCCTGGGGCACATAGTAAGACCCTATCTTAAAAACCACATACAAGAAAGAAAGGGAGGGAAGGAGGGAGGGAGGGAGGGAGGGAGGAAAGGAGGGAGGGAGGGAGGAAGGAAGGAAGGAAGGAAGGGGGAGGGGAAGACGGGAAGGAAGGAAGGGAGGGAGGGAGGAAGGAAAGAAGGAAGGAACTGTAAGTTAGAAGATCAGAGGTCACTAAGTACTTTTGCTACAGGGAAGATAAGAGGTTGAGTCCTTCACAATGTAGGAAGACAGTGACATACTTGGGGTCATGTAACAATTTCTTGCGTGTAAAAGCCTCTCAAGAGGAAAATGTTCAAGCTGAACATCTAAATTATCTGTGATGTTTGCCAACCTCTGTCCTAAGACACCAGAGGCTCCAGCTGCAGTAAAAAGCTCACTCCACGGACCCAGCCAACGATGGAACAGGGTGGACTGTTTAACCTTTAAGCTGAGAAGAGGGGACCAAGCTGGCACCCACAGAACCGATGGGGAGCACCCAGTGTCTTTGTGTGGGTGAAAAGAATTCTGTTCTGCAGTGGTTAGAACCCATCACCAGATTCCAGTAGAAAAAGCTAAAGATCCCTGTGGTGTAGGAGATGATGTCAGGTTGGAACTATGCCTGAATAGTTCTCTGAAATCTACCAAGTTCTGATAATAGTAAGAGCAATAAATGGTTTAATACTCATAAACTGACAGCATTTCTCTCTCTCCTCTCTCTTTGTGTAGGTGTTTGTAATTCTGCATAAGTAGACATAAATACACACACACATATATATCCATATATATATATACATATATATATCTCAGTTAAGTTCTGTTTTGGGAAAGGGATATACTTTAGTCTGAACTTTATTTCTCATTAATTTTAAACACCATTTCTCTCATTAAGCACTGGCGATAATGAGCAATACTGTTAGACTGTATTATTTAAATCCTTGTTTGGGCCTGGAGAGATGGCTCAGTGGATAAAAGCACTGACTGCTCTTGCAGAGGACCTAGGTGAGTTCCCAGCACCCACGCGGTGGCTCACAACCACCATGTTTCAGAGGATCTGGTGCCCTTTTCTGGATTCCACAGGAGTCTGTATGCACGTGCTGCACATAGACTCATGCACACCCATACATACACATAAATAGAAATAGATTTTTTAATTTGTCTTTGGAAAACAAAATATTGTCACTACATGTGAATTCCTCTCCCTTTTCTGAATTTCACAGGTTGACAAATGGAAAGCTCTGGAGTGTTTGTAATGCCTCATTCTGATTGACATGATTGATTGGTGATTGGCCAAATGATCTATTGATGACATGTCATGAAGGATGCTGAGGAGTCAGGCAGGGCTATTTTGAGAAACACTCTGAAAATATTTTAAAAGTTAGACAGTTTGTCACTCAAGAAAAATTAAGTCTATGATGATGCACTGAGCACTGGAGCATCAGACTGTCGAAATGGCTCTACATGTCCTTGACCTAAGTGTCTGTGCAGTTAGACAGTAAACCAGGCATAAGAGGAATTATATTGATTTTAGTGTGCCAATGCCCACTGGCCTGCATAATTGCACAGCGCCCTCTCAGTTCTCTCTTCTACAATGTGCTTTATAGTTCTGAAATCCTCTCCCTTAAGTAGTTGGTGTTTTCAACATTTTGCAGACTAGTTGGTCTTGAGAACTTTCTTGAATAATGTTTTCTTGATGCAGCAAAACTGTACCTTGTAGTTGACAATCTAACTGTCCCTGCAGCAGGGGAAAACCCAGAGTTGGTCTACAGCCAATTTTTAAGCTATTTACATTATTATGTGTCTAGTGATGGCTTACAGGTACCTATTTATACTGTCTTATAAATATGTCATACATTCTCTATTACTGATAAGAGTTTATCCACAAGTCTCCCCAGGGATTTTCTTATGTATACATTCCATATCATCCCTTGTCTTGAAAATCCCTATATATTACTTTCATTACCTAAGTGTGGTGTACACTCAAGAAAAGTTACCTGATAACACAATAACAAACAATATTGATTAGTCATCATCACAAGGCTGTATAAGATAATTTATCACTGGAGTCATTGTGGGGAGCTGTATTCTTTCTACCTTTCTTCTGGATTTCTAAAACACAATTCTCCAGAGTCATTCAGCCTAGGAACGCCAAGAATATTAATGACTTAATATTTGTAAGCAGCTGCAGACTCTGCTGACAGCCTCCCCCGCCTCCATGAAGGACTCTTATGTCTCTGGAGCCCAAAAAAGCTCTTCTGTGTTTCGTTGGTCATGGTATTTTACTCACAACAGCGGAACAGCAACTAACTCAGATGGGCACCCCATTGTAGAGCAGGTCTAACGTGCTGGGAGCTTGGTTTCATGGAGATTGCAGTGACATGCTTTCTGTATAGTATTGAATTATTTATGGGGTAGAGATTTGTCCTTTATGCATAGAAATATAACAAAACCTCACTATCTAAAAACCTTCAATGCTAATAATTAAAAACATATATTTTGTGTGATAAGTGATGGCTTATCAGAGGAAGGTCACATGCCCCTCATGGACAGACACAGAGGTGGAGAAGTCTTTGTAACGGAGCATCTCTCTTTCTGTGAATGTGATTTAGGGTCTAGTCTTGTACACAGTCAATTTTCTATATAATGATATGTATTCTTCACAAATTTACAATGATGCATTCAATAGCCTTTCATTATTCTATACACAATAGGGATATAAACACTCACCCACCTGTCTTTGAAGTACAGTGGAGAGCAAGTCCGTGAACTCAAAGGTCATTGTGAAGGACTGGAAGGTTGTTTGTCTTTCCATGTGTTTTTCTGAATGAGTTTGGCCATCATATTGACCTTGGCACTCCAATGAAACATCAAAGCCTGTCTGGTCAGGGCTTCTCTGCAATTCATTTCCTTAGTGCCTGATTCCACTTTAGTTTCATTTGTTCACACTGATCTTTTTCCCAAGAGGAACATTCTGTTCAAAGAAGGAACAGACTATCCTGATCAGATACAGATAATCATTTCCATTGGTGACACTGAAACCAGACAGAGAAATGTCCCTTCCTCATGGCCAGAGAAGGGCTGTCTGTACACTCAAGATGCAGTCAAGTGTGGGTTCTGGAGATTTCAGGTGTTTGTGAGCCACGTGTACATCTCTTCTGGCTTTCTTTTTGTTTCTCTGATAATGCACTGACACAAAACGTCTTGGGAAGAAAAGTATTGATTTCAGCTTGTATTGATTACAGGTTGTAGTCTGTCGTCGAGGGAAGTCAGTGCAGGAACTTGAAGGCAGGAAGTGATGCAGAGACAAAGGAGAGACACAGTTTACTGACTTGCTTCTAGCCTCATGGTCAGCTATGTCCTTACACAATTCGGAACCACCTGCCTAGGGATGGGACTACTCAGGATGGGCTGGGTCTTCATATATCAATTACCAATCAAGAAAATGTCCCATAGACCCACCCAAAGGCCAATTTGATGGAGACACCGCCCCCCCGTGTGTTGACAACTAAAACATATTGTGAAATCTGATTTGCTGCGATGCTCCAAACTACCACTGCACATTGTAGCATTGAGTGATGTTGCTGGATGTTAGATAGATCAATAGCAATGAAGTATTGCCCCCATCACATATACCATGCACTGTGGTAGGCACTGAAATATAGTGGCAGGAGAGGGTCAGTCTCTGCCCTCATGATTGTACTTGGTGGTAAGAAAGTCCTTAGGTGGTTCTCACATCTCCCCATTTAGATGTACTTATCATGATGAAGGTCATCTTCGTCTCCACTCCCACAGGGCTGTGCCACCGCATCGTCAAGGAGGGAGTAGATTCTGGATGAAGACATCAGACCTAGAAAGGTAACAGGTTGAACATACTCTGATATTCCATTTCCACATGGCTTTCTACTCAATGATAGCATTGTCTCATTAATCCTAACTCCTGCGCTGGCTTCAGCAGGACATTCACTAAAATGGGAAGGACACAGAGCTTAGCGTGGGCTCTGTGCAAGGATGAAACTCAATTTCCTGAGGCCTTCCATGCTTTTTCCTCTGAATTTTCATCATAAACTTTCTTGACCAACTTACAGCACTTTGGGCCTCTAGTTTCCAGCGAAGTCTGGACTGGGCAAAGTAGTCCCGGCCTGACCTCAGGTCTCCTCCTTTCTAGGGTAAAATGCAGCTAGTATCTGCTACATATTTGTGGGGGCCTCACTTGTCCCTCTGAAACTTAGAAGCCATTTGTTTGAGTTCATGCTAAAAGGTCTGTTGCTGAAGAAAATAAACTATATTATTAATAAAAAATAAACTATATTATTAATAATACCCTATATCCTCACTGCCAAAACCACCATTGTCCCGTCCTTCCTATTATAAAGGTGTTGATATCAGAAAAATAGAGCCATACCAGTCTACAGTATCTATTAGCACAGCCTGCAGGGCCTGCACTCTGGGGGATGGACGTTGAGAAGTTTGCATGTTACTTACAGCCCATCACAGAACTCTGCGTGCAGGTTTGTGCTTGCTTAGTCTGGCACTATTTATATTTGAACCAGGTTAGATTGATTTAGGATGAAGGTGTCCTTTCTTGTATGCTTTGATCACCTGCAGAAAGTAGATTTAAGCTAGAACGACAAGCTGGGTAAATTCTATGAAACGTGAGAGTAAAACATTCAGCATGTCAGCATGATTATACATCCAGTATTTTGGTTCCACAAAAGAAAAAAATCATGTTTAAACTTATGTCCCTGCTTTCCATGTGGTCTCTTTCTGGCTTTCATTTTAAAAACATCATGAAACACACATTATTTCAGTGCTACGTTACAGGGAGGCACTGGAGTATATTACCTGGAGGCCAGATCTTTTCAGTAAGAATTTCAACGGTGAGATAAATGATCATTGAGCGATGAGGAGCATTATAAAGGGTACACCATTTGCAATGAAGGCTTCACATCTGTTTCACTTTCTAATTACAAGTGCAACACTCCCCTAGACACCCAAACCACCAAGAGCATAAATCACAGTCATAAAAGAGCTGCACACAGAGAAAGGTGGTTTAGATTTACGTGGTTGCATGTGCTTCCTGTTGAGAACTCCAAGCATGCCTCAGTCATGTGCCTGTCCCCTGCTAGATGAAATCTGGAGCGAAAGGAAATGCAGTTTTCATACTCACTTTGTCTTCCCTCCATGGATCTCTGTCAAAATCTCATGAAAATAAATGTGGGGTCCCAGAGAGGAGAAAAGCAAAAACATCCATCTGAGAAGAAACCAACTCTGGAAAGTTCTCTTAGATGTTTATCATAAATGTGTATTCAATCCTACTACCTGACAGGTTTTTTGGCTGCCTAAGGAGACATAGGAGAAAACCAAACAGACATATTCAGAGCTGACAGCCGAATTCTAGAAAGAGACATTACAAAGGATTGCACACGTAAATATATAATTACAGTAGTGATGTTCCCATGAAAACAAACTTCAGTGTTTTACAGCAATGAAACCTTCAGAAAAAGACTCAAGGAGACAGAAAAGCCAAAGGAGATGCCGAGAAGACATCAGCGGTCTCAGAAGCACAAGCAGGGTCCGATTACTATGCGTTTTCAGTTCCTGAAACATTCTTCATTCAAAACAGGAAACAGCTAGAAAGCAACATAAATATATTGAAGATGCATTTTATAGAGTTAAATTTCAAAAATTTTAAAGAATGAGAACTCTGTTGGTCGTATGGTAGCTTTGACACCAAGAATGATTATATCTCCTGTTGATTGGTATGTCTGGGTCAAAAAAATGGACACAGGGATAACCTTCAGCTTGAAATTGGAGAATCAAGATTCACATGGCAACTAGACCTAGCATATTTCTACTATAATGTAAGGTTGGTATTATTTCTTGGAAAGGAGAAAAGAATTTTGAAGCAACATTAGAAAATTTGTAAATCAAATATATTGTATTATAACTTTTATGTGATTTATACCTGCATGTACACTGCAGATATTATAGATTCTATCAAAACATACTCTGCTGGGACTAGAGAGATGGCCCAGTGGTCAAGAGCACTGGCTGTTCTTGCAGAGTTCCTGTTTCATTCCTAACATCCACGTGGCAGCTAACAACCACCAGTAACTCCAGTTCCAGGTGATCAGATGCCCTCTTCTGAAGGCGTTGCACAACACAGGTGCACTTACATACATGCAGGCAATATACTCATACACATAAAATAAAAATAATAGTTTTAAAAACATGCTATTCAATTTAAGCCCATGACATATTACATTAGTATAAAAAGATGTGCTCTTATAACAAACAAACCTATGGCAGGAAGGATGGCTCTGTGAGTAGGGGAGCTTGCCAAGATGGAGAACCTGATTTCAATTCCTGGAGAACATAAGTTATCCTTTGGTCTCTACAAAACTGCCATAGTGTACATACATGTACACACCTATACAATCAATCAAATAAAACCCAACCCCTGGGTCTCAATGATTTGCGATGGTTAAAAAGCACCAATACAACTTTCATTTTGGTTCAGGGACTTAGTTCCATTTTACACTTAGAAGAGTTTATGATTAGTCAGGTGTGGTGTCGCATGCCCTCAGACCCAGACTTCAGGAGCCAGAGGCAGGCAGATCATTGTGAGATCAAAGCCAGCCTCATCTACATACCAAGTGCTAGTCCAGCTAGGACTATAGAGAGACTCTGTCTCAAAAAAAACTAAATTAAAAAAAATTAATAAAACTCCACATAACAAACAAATATATTTCTCTTTAGGAGAGAAATACATAACATCAAATGTTTACATGTGGGGCGAGGACTGGGGCTGTGGAGATGGCTCATTCAATAATACACTTTCCATGCAAGTGTAAGAATCCAAGTTCAGATCCCTGGCATCCATGTAAGAAGCTGTATTTAATAATATTTATCAGATCATAATGCTGGGGAGGGAGACAGACAAATTCCTGTTTGTCCAGTCAGGATAGTCAGTGAGCTTCAAGTTCATGAGACACCCTGTATCATAACATAAGGTGGGGAACTGAGGATAACACCTGACATTGGCCTTTGGCCTTCACATGCACACAAACATGTATGGACACACACACACACACACACAAATACATTCACACAAGCATGAGCACGCACATATACACAATAATTTATAATACTCAATAAAGTTTTGAATCCATTAGTTATTTGATAATGTAATGTCCAAGAATTATGGTGTCTATAATCACCTCCAGGAATTGAGAGAAATCAAGGATTATTCCTTGAAATAATTTACATATATATTTTGTATCCTTGGCAAAGACACTGAGAAACTCTATAATTCTTTACTTGTGGAAGTTCTCTAACAGAGGTGAGAAAATTTACTCAGAAATATGGGATAGTGAGTGGAAGTGTCTGCTGCCTTGTCCCATTTTTTAAATGAGAGGATAAAATCCTGGTTTTACTGTTACTATTTCCAGCCCTGGAAACATTGTTTCGCTAGTGAAAACTAAATATTAGCATTTCTCAGTGGGTACATTATTAACCATTAAAGTAGGATAATTTTCATTGTGTGAACCTCCCCCCCCCCCAAAAAAAAAAAATCTCATGACCGGGGTTCAGTTGATAGTGCTTTCATGGCACGCAAACCATATAAAACAGGGTATGCAGTCTCTCTCCTGTAACCTCAGCTCTCAGCAGAAGGAGGAAGGAGGATCAGCACAACATTATCCTTGTTTGCGTAGTGAGTTTGAGGCAAGGCTAGATTACCTGAAAGTCCAACTCAAAAGAAAACAGTAGAACTCATGGAAGCTAGGGACCACAGCATTCACCTACTTCACACATGCAAAGGGCTTGGATTCAACTGCCAGAACCAAACAGAGCTCATGATGATGACAGTGCCTCCAGCTGAGTTTCTGATTAGCACTGGAAAGGCTGATGCAGAATTGCCACTAGGGTTCACAACCTCCATTCCGGACATTCACTCCATTTTCTTTGTTACAGACAATTTGCAGTCATTCAAATCTTCTTCCCACTTGTCCAAAAGTATAAAGGAACCAGTGCATTTATTTTACTGCAAAGAGAACACATGCCATATTTAATACGTACAATGCCACATGACTTATGGGCACACCTCATTTTGTCATCTATTTCAATACTGTTGTTAGATACTGGTATCTGTGCTGGGCTCACTGCCTGGACAGTGTAGATACATTAGCTTATGTCAGACGAATCTCATAAACCACATGGCTTTCTACTTCTCGCTCATAAATGGATTCCAAGCAGAGGAAGATAACTAACTTCGTCACTTCTTCTTGGCAAAATGAGCTTTTAGGTCAACCACTGAACAGAAATGAGATTGTCAAACACATTTCTGTCACAGTGGGTGATACCTAAAAACTCCATTTCTATCAGCGCCAAGACACCAGAGGCTGTGTGTTTATAAGATGGAGCTGGAGCCTACAGTTCCTGAAATTTAACCGAGGTAGAGTGGAGTTAGCAAAACTCGTGAAGTTGAAGTAATGCAGAATCAATTTGTCCATTGAAAGCTTTTTTCTGACAAAGCAGTAAGATGTTCAGGCAATAGTCAAGACTCAGAAATGTTTTACAAGAGATGGGACACTTTAGGCTTCATTTATAAGGAAATACAAATCCATTTCTTAAAATACTGCGTTCATGTATATAAGTGCATCATAGTTTAATAATCTGTTTCTGAAACTATGAACACACCATGCCCAAATCTTCTTCTGCTTCCTTCTTTCAAAGCATACATACACAACTCTTGCTTTGAGAAATAACTGAAGATTTTTTATTTCATTAAGACCATAACTATTGAAATAATAGCTAATCAAACAGGAGCACTTAACCGACAGTCCAACAATTCATGTTTTTTTTAAACAATTTATTGAGAATTTCATACAAGTATATAAGCATATAAGGTGTTTTGATCAATTCCATGCCCACTCCCTCCGCTCCAACTCCTCCCATATCTCCCCATCACTTTTTTCTGATAACTTCATTTGGTCTG